TGGTGTTGGTGAAAAGGAGTCAGCGGTGCTGGCCGCGGCGCAAGTGCTACACTTGTATGTGAATCCCAGGGCAACTGGTTGGGGAAAGGGCTTTGAGCAGTATGAAATTGCAGCAGAAGTGCAGAGCGTTGGAGACCATTCCTGGAACCAAAAGAATTTGGTGGAAAAACCCTTGTCCTTTTCTTACTTAGAAAAAAAAAAAAAAAAAAAAAAGAAAAAAAAAAAAAAAAAAAAAAAAAAAAATACAAGAGTCAGGGTCTTGCTGCTAGCCAGGCTGGTCTCAAACTCCTGGCCTCAAGTGATCCTCCTGCCTTAGCCTCCCAAAATGCTGGGATTACAGGCATGAGCCACCACACCCAGTCTTCTAGTGACTTTTACCTACCCTTTAATATTTTCCATCTTTTTGTCTCTCAGTGTTACATTATAAGTGACCTCTTAGATATAGCTTCTTCATTAATTTTTAAATTGTGTTTAATCTGCTGTTTAGCTTATCCATTATTTTTTCATTCCTATATATATATTTTTTCTTTTTTTTTCTTTTTTTTTTTTTTAACAGAAGCCGTGGCTTTTTTTTTTTTTTTTTTAAAAGACAGATTCTCAGTGTGTTACCCATGCTGGAGTGCAGTGGTGTGATCTCCGCTCACTGCAACCTCTGCCTCCTGGGCTCAAGCGATCTTCTCACCTCAGCCTGCAGAACAGCTGGGACCACAGATGCAAGCACAACCACGCCTATCTAATTTTTGTAGTTTTAGTAGAGACAGGGTTTCACCATGTTGCCCAGGCTGGTCTCAAACTCCTGAGCTCAAGCAACCCGCCCACCTTGGCCTCCCAAAGTGCTGGGATTCCAGGCATGAGCCACACACCTGGCCTGTTGGGTTACTTTTTAAATCTTCCGGTTCTCTGTTGACGCTATTCTGTTACTGCATGTTAATCTCTCTTCTCCTTTTAGCCCTCTTTTATTTGCATGTATCTTGTGGTCTCTTAGGCGGTTGTATTACGTACACTGATATGCCAGTCCTCTTGTTTTTGTCTCTGCCTCGTCTCCTTCATGGTGGTTTCTTTACTTTTATAATCTGTAGGGTTTTTTTGGTTTTGTTTTGTTTTTGAGACGGAGTCTCGATCTGTTGCTCAGGCTGGGGTGCAATGGCGTGATCTCAACTCACTGCAGCTCCACCTCCCAGGCTCAAGCGATTCTCCTGCCTCAGCCTCTGAGTAGCTGAGTGCTACCTCGACCGGTTAATTTTTGTATTTTTAGTAGAGATGGGGTTTCACCGTGTTGGCCAGGCTGGCCTCGAACTCCTGACCTCAGGTGATTCACCCGCCTCAGCCTCCCAAAGTGCTAGGATTATAGGTGTAAGCCACCACTCCTGGCCGATAATCTGTAGTTTTTATCACAAGTTCCCCTTTGGGAGCAGCAGGGTTTTTTTCCAGTTTTTTTCAGCTTTTCACACCCTGGAGAGAGACCACACTCCTGCTTGAAGGGCAGGCCCTGGAGTTCCAGGCTCTTTAGGGTAGCGGTTTCCACTCCCGGCCCTGAACATCTGTTCCTTACCACTTTCTCCAACTGGTCAGTGCAGACAGATTAATATCTTAGCTTTTGGAGACCCTGGAATGTATCCAGGGGGTTTGTTTCTTGCTCCCCACACTCCTACAGTTCTTCTGTCACTCATGGGTGTAGGAGTCCAGGCGCCCAAGCCTCTAGGCGGATCTGAAACCCCTCAGGGTCAGCTCACTCCTGCAACCCCAGCTTTGATTTCTTTGTCTTTGATACATGGAGCCATCCCTTTCTTTCTTTCAAGCTTGCTTTTTTTACGCTTGGGTTTTTTGTTTTTGTTTTTGTTTTTTTTTGAGACGGAGTCTCACTCTGTCACCCAGGCTGGAGTGCAGTGGCGCAATCTCTATTCACTGCAAGCTCCGCCTCCTGGGTTCACGCCATTCTCCTGCCTCAGCCTCCCGTGTAGCTGGGACTAAGGTGCCCGCCACCGCACCCGGCTAATTTTTGTGTTTTTAGTAGAGACGGGGTTTCACCGTGTTAGCCAGGGTGGTCTTGATCTCCTGACCTCGTGATCCGCCCATCTCGGCCTCCCAACAGCTGGGATTACAGGTGTGAGCCACCGCACCCGGCTCAAGTTCATTCAATAAAAAAAAACCTATAAATATAAGTAGTGGGAGGGGTCCAGCCATCCTCTCCATTCATCATGCCACTGGGGCGTCCCCACTGAATGCCACCAGTGCCAGGGAACTCCCTACCTCCCAGGGGTCTGGAGAGACCCAAATCTTGCTCACACTGAGGAACGGTGGACAGCTGAGGGCAGGTCTTCTCCAGGCAGCTTGAGTAGGGGGAGGTAAGGATGAGGATGGGTGGGTAACATAACAAGCAGACCTCGAGGCCAGGTGTTTTCAGGGACAGAAGAAGTCGGGGCTGCTGGGTCTCCTCCATCTCCATCCTGGAGGCTCCTGCGGGAGGGCTGTAGTCTGGGTCCGGCCAGTGTCTGGGGCCACAGGGGCAACAGATATTCCCTCCTGGAGCCTCAGTGGCGGGAAAGCATCATCACAAACTCTGCGGGAGAGAAGGGCAGGGCTTGGGCCAGTCCATGTCAGGGATCCCAGGAGGTGCTGGGCTCAGCCTGGGCCCTGGAAGGACGGGAGGGTTTTCTGGGAAGGAGACTCACCATCAAAGTCTACGGTGCCATCCCCATTGAGGTCCACTTCTCGGAGCATCTCGTCCAGCTCAGGACCCGCCAGCGGCTCCCCGAGCAGAGCCGGTACGGCCTCCCGCAGCTCCGCTACCGTAATTCGTCCATCCCTGTCCCTGTCAAACTAAGGTCCCGGCAAGGCTCAGCCCCTCCCACCCAAAGCTGCCTCAGCCTGCAGCCAGCTCCACTCTTCTATTTTTTATTTTATCTATTTTTTTATTTTATTTATTTATTTATTCTGAGATGGAGTCTTGCTCTGTCACCAGGCTGGAGTGCAGTGACACGATCTCGGCTTACTGCAACCTCTGCCTCCAGGGTTCAAGTGATTCTCCTGCCTCAGCCTCCTGAGTAGCTGGGATTACCGGTGCCCACCACAACCCCCGGCTAATTTTTATATTTTTAAGAGAGATGGGGTTTCGCCATGTTAGCCAGGCTGACCTCGAACTCCTGACCTCAGGTGATCTGCCCATGTTGGCCTCCCAAAGTGTTGGGATTAAGGCTTGAGCCACCGCACCCGGCCAGCCAGTTCCACTCTTACCACTGCCTGTACCTAGATGCTCCCCCACCCACCATCTCTGCCCATGCACACCTTCCCCATCTTCCCACACCAAGGTGGTTTGCCTCCTGCTCCAGGAAGTCCTCCTGGATGGATCCCCTAGCTGAGAGTGAGCTGAACCCTCTTTGACCCATCCCTGGGCCCCAGTCACATCTCGTGCAGGGCTCTGGGCCTTCCCAAGGCTGAGACCTGAGTGAGAGGCCAGCAAGGATGCCACCCAGCCCTGCCCCCCTCTGCCCACGTCACCACACTCCGCACCTCTCGGAAGGCGATGCGCAGCTCTCGCACCCCCAGCATATGCGCCGTCTCCTCCCTCAGCTTTGGGCCTATCAGTTCTACGAACTCCTCAAAGTCCACACGGCCACCCACTGCGGACCCAGGAAGAGTGTCACAATGGTGAGGGCATAAGGGCTGAAGTCAAAGGAGGGACATCCCACAGGCCAGGCACCCCCACCCCCAGGCTCTGCACCTAGGAAGAAACCCCTGTCCACGCTTGCAGCAGATAGGAGGCCAGAACCCCCGTCCTTGGCTGCTGGGGTGCCGGGGCTGCTTCTGCTCTTAGCAAAGAACCCAAGTGTGCGAGGAAGAGACTAGGCTTTGGAGCCAGATAGTGCCCGCTGCAAGTCTTGGCCCTGCTGCTGATGTGCGTGGCACTGGCTGACTTACTGACCCTCCCTCATCCTAGGAGTGGGGCGAGGAGCCTACTCCATGGGGTTCAAGTTCATGGCCATGAAGTACTGGAGCCCAGTGGGCAGCAATAAATGCCACTTCTGAACACACGCATGCAGTCTGTGCCTCAGTTCTAAGATGCCATCAGTCACACAAAGCACTCATGGTCACACAACTGCTTTGGGGACAGAAAAGAAGCATGACACTAAATGTCCACCTCAATTGTAAATCACATCCCCATTTTGGAAATTATGCGGAAAAAATGCTGGAGTCCTGGAATGAAGTGAATATGAGATTTGTCTGAGGACAGACCAGCAAAGGGGAACCACACAGTGCCTGCCATCAGACACTGAGTCGCAAGGCATGGCTGGGGTCCTCTCGCATCAGGGCAACCCCGATTCAGGCAGCTGCCACCAGGGCACAGGGCTGAGGCAGGGTCACAGAGAGAGAGAAGGAAAGGGTGCCAGGTGACTAATACCAGTGGAAAGCACTCTATCACTGCGTCAGGGGCTTCTGGGTCAGCGAGGCAGGAAGGGCTTGGGTGGAAGGAGCAAATGTGTACAGTGGCCATGGCAACAGACATCCCGAGCCAGGGTCCTCAACCTGAGCCCCAAGGGGCTCTCCTGGGTCTCCAGACTGACTTGCTGGCCTGCCTTCCCACACAGACAGGCAGGAGCTTGAACCCGGTGCCCCCGTCTGGACACCGCCACACTCCCTCACTCCCACCAGCACCCCAATGGACTCCCAAGGGCCACCTCCTGGCAGCCCCTCGTAACCCCCTGAACCATGCAGGCTGCCCAGGCGGGTAGGCTCCCACACTGACTGCGCATCTTGATGTGCTGCGAGACCTCCAGGAGCTCCATCTCGGTGGGCATATAGCCCAGGGTCCGCATGCAGTCACCCAGTTCCCGGTGGCTGATGTAGCCGTCACGGTCAGTGTCAAACTCCTCAAAGGCGGCCTGAAGTTCTGTGGGGGAGGGAGGTCAGGCCCAGGCAGCCAGACTCAGGGACAGCTCCCACCCCTGCCAGCCGCAAGAGCCACTCACCGTCTAGCTCCTCGGGGCCCAGCTCGCGGTCCTGCAGAGGGAGAGTCCAGGATGTCCCCAGGGCCAGCCACGGCTCTGTCATCCTTCCTCCTCCATCCCCTGCTCATGTTGGTCTGGGCAGGGCCCAGCCCCACCAGGGTAGAAGAAGGACGCTGAAGCCTCGTGGGACGCAGAAGGAGCAAGCTCCCTTTTGTGCTCCTGGGGCCTGGAGCTCCCACAGAGCCCTGGTGTGAATGCTGGCTCTGCCCACCGCACACGCTGGCCTGAGACCCACCCTACCCCAAACCGCAGCAACCCTGCCCCACAGCCCAGGCTTAGTCTGGGGCAGAACAGGCAGAGGGCCTCCCAGGGGCAGGGTGGGCTGAGCCCAAGGGGTGTGTCTCCAGCCCCATCCCCAGGACCCCCAGCCCAACCCAGGTCCCACCTAACCTTCCCGAAGACTCGATTGAGCAGGGGCCCGTATGTCCTCTGAGCAGCGTCATGCCGGGAGTCAGGACGATGTCGGTGGGACTGGCGAGAAGAGGCCGGCCCAGGGGATGCAGGGGGTGCCCCCACTGGGCCCTCTCCAGTCCTCGGAGGGTTATTGCTGCTCCCCGGGGCCTCGGGGCCTGACTGCTCCCCAGAGCTGCCAGTGCGCTTTCGAGACCCTCGGAGCCCCCTCTCCTTCTTGCTCCTCTTCCTGGTCAGCGGGGGCTCCTCTGCATCACTCTTGGGAGTCACAACCCCTGCAGGGGGCTTCTGAGGGCCAGTGGCCGGGTCTGGGCCGTGCTGCCCCCTTGCCTGCTCTGTGGCCATGGGGGAGGGATAACAGGGCTCAGAGACAAATCACTCCTGGGCACCCTTGACTTTCAGGACCCATAAAGCTGCTTATGCACCCCCACTCTTAGAGGTGAGAGCCTAGGATCGGGCTCTGAGGGGGATTAGGGTAAGTGAGGCAGGCAGCCTCAGCCCTAATCCCAGTCCTCTGCCTCAGGACTGGCCAGGGCAGAGCCAGATGGGTCCAGAGAACTGTCCTTGGTCAGAAGCAAGGGGCACCAGGACGTGCTGGCTGCCATGAGCCTCAGATGCCAGATCTGCCACTTACTAGCTGGGGGATCCAGCAAATTCCCCTCCCAGCCTCAGTTTCCCCATCTATAAAACATGGGGAATAATGCCGGGGTGCGGAAGACTCAGCCCGGTTGTGACATGGGCGGAGGCCTTCGTTAGGCAGAGAGGACCAGGAAAGGCACCTCAGGCGGGAGGAGGCATGTGGACAACAGCTGGGAGGTGGGAAAGGATGAGCGAGTGGCCCACTGGGGCCCCCGATGGGTGACATCCTGGCCAGAGCAGAGGGCATGTGAAATGGAGAAAGAGACCAGATCACAGATGCCTCGAATGCCGTATTGAGGAGCACGGCGGGTGATGTGGGAGGAGGTGGACCTTGGAGTCTTAGAGTCTGCCCTGGGCTGGAGAAGCCCTGAGGAGGAGGGTCTGACTGTCCAGGTCCATCAGGGCTGGGGGAGGGGGTCTGGCTGGTCACTTGGCCCTACTGGGCCAGGGTTAGGGTTTCCCGGCAAGCAGCCCCATGAATGATTGATGTCCTCTCAGCTTGGGTTTCCTGCCCACCCGCCTTAGCGCCGCCAGGCGCCACACAGCAGGCCCCGGTGAGGGCCGGGGGGACAGCTGGAGCGCTGGGCAGGCAGGCACGCCCTGCTCCTTCCACCCATCGGCCTGTGTCTCCCAGGTAAGCCAGCCCTCACTGGTCAGGGCCCCAGGCTGGGGGTGCCCAGGGCTCTGATCCAGTAGGGAATGGAGACAGCAGAGGGGGTCGGCCTGAGGAGGAACCCTGGGAGTATGGAGGGCACCAAACTAAAGGCCAAGTGGCTGGAGCCATGGGCCATGGACAGGGCCGCCCTTCAGGGCATCTGTTCCCTCCTCAGACTGCACCACCACCTGGGCTCTCGTTGCCATCAAAAGGAAACTCCATCCCCTCTGCCAGTGGGGGAGGGCGGGGTGGGGCTGCAGGCCTCTTGGATCCCAGGTCTGGGTGCCCCCCAATTCCCCTCACCCTCACCGTCCCACCACCATCCCACTGCAGAGCCCCTCCCCTTCTCCGTTTAGCAGCTCCACACAGGGGTCACCACCTGCCCGAGCGGTGGGAAGCAGGAGAGGGTCACGGTGGGGTGGAAGATGCTGGAGAGGCACCAGGGGCTCCTAGGATGGCCCTCCTGGCCCCAGGCTGCCACGGTCCTGAGACTCAGATCTCATCCTGAGCCCATGAGTGACACTCGCTGGAGGGGAGGGGGTTCCCACTGCCCCAGACTCCCTACCTTTGGGTTCCCTGGGCCCATGGGAACCAGAGCCCTCACTTCTTGTAATTCTAAACACTCGAAGTCCAGGAGAGTAGGTATAAAGGGGCCTTGTGATGAGCAGACCAAATGGTCTTCAAACTGTGTTCCCTGGAACCCTAGGGGGGTAGGGGGTACTGTTCCCTCCTTTAATTTGAGCACCCCCTTTTACTTCATACAGGAGTTCCACTAGAATCTTTTTTTTATTTGAGACGGAGTTTTGCTTTTGTTGCTCAGGCTGGAGTACGATGGCACGATCTTGGCTCACCGCAACCTCTGCCTCCCAGGTTCAAGCGATTCTCCTGAGTAGCTGGGATTACAGGCATGTGCCACCACGGCCAGCCAATTTTGTATTTTTAGTAGAGATGGGGTTTGTCCATGTTGGTCAGGCTGGTCTTGAACTCCCGACCTCAGGTGATCCTCCCAAAGTGCTGGGATTACAGGTGTGAGCCACCGTGCCCAGCCTTAGAATACTTTACTTGAAGACAAAATTCCATACCATTAACAATGTTTGAAAGCCTCCAGGTTAGTCTACTCGGACACAGTGGGATTCCACATGGCAGAAGATTAAGTCTGGCTGGACACAGTGGCTCACGCCTGTAATCTCAACACTTTAGGAGGCCAAGGTAGGAGGATCACTTGAGCTCACAAGTTCAAGACCAGCCTGGGCAACATAGTGAGACTGTGTCTCTACTAAAAATTTTAAGAGTAGTGGGTGCACACCTGTAGTCCCAGCTACTAGGGAGGCTGAGATGGGAGGGTCGCTGGAGCCCAGGAGGTGGAGACTGCAGGGACTGTGCCACTACACTCTATCCTGGGCAATAGAGCAAGGCCCTGTCTCTCAAAAAAAAAAAGAAAGAAAAGTCTGGGTTGAGCCCTGGCACCTCCCTTCCTACCTTCACTGATTCTCTGAACTTTCCTCTCTTCGCCTGTAAAGTAGATTGTATGAGGACTCCATGAGGTCACCCACTTAAAGTCCGTGGCAGAGGATAACTATCCACAAGGCGATGACAATGGCGCAGGGAGGGATGGCGACTTGCCTGGAGACACACAGCACTGTCTCTCCCATACTCAGTCATTCACACCATCACTGATTCACCAGGCACCCACTCCGTGTCCAGCAGGACTCCAGGGACCCCAAATGCACACTACTATGGAAGCCAACCTGGGTGCCACCGGCCACGGGCCCCGCACGGAGCTTGATGATGAAGACTCCTACCCCCAGGGTGGCTGGGACACGGTCTTCCTGGTGGCCCTGCTGCTCCTTGGGCTGCCAGCCAATGGGCTGATGGCGTGGCTGGCTGGCTCCCAGGCCCGGCATGGAGCGGGCACGCGTCTGGCGCTGCTCCTGCTCAGTCTGGCCCTCTCTGACTTCTTGTTCCTGGCAGCAGCGGCCTTCCAGATCCTGGAGATCCAGCATGGGGGGCACTGGCCACTGGGGACAGCCGCCTGCCGCTTCTACTACTTCCTGTGGGGCGTGTCCTACTCCTCCGGCCTCTTCCTGCTGGCTGCCCTCAGCCTGGACCGCTGCCTGCTGGCGCTGTGCCCACATTGGTACCCTGGGCACCGCCCAGCCCGCCTGCCCCTCTGGGTCTGTGCCGGGGTCTGGGTGCTGGCCACACTCTTCAGCGTGCCCTGGCTGGTCTTCCCTGAGGCCGCCGTCTGGTGGTACGACCTGGTCATCTGCCTGGACTTCTGGGACAGCGAGGAGCTGTCGCTGCGGATGCTGGAGGTCCTGGGGGGCTTCCTGCCTTTCCTCCTGCTGCTCGTCTGCCATGTGCTCACCCAGGCCACAGCCTGTCGCACCTGCCGCCGCCAACAACAGCCCGCAGCCTGCCGGGGCTTCGCCCGTGTGGCCAGGACCATTCTGTCGGCCTACGTGGTCCTGAGGCTGCCCTACCAGCTGGCCCAGCTGCTCTACCTGGCCTTCCTGTGGGACATATACTCCGGCTACTTGCTCTGGGAAGCCCTGGTCTACTCCGACTACCTGATCCTGCTCAACAGCTGCCTCAGCCCCTTCCTCTGCCTCATGGCCAGTGCCGACCTCCGGGCCCTGCTGC